TTTTTTTTTCAGTTTTCTGGCCATGAGGTATGTGGGATCCTAGTTCCCTAACCAGGGATCAAACTCTCTGCTTTGGAAGGCAAAGTCTTAACCACTGGACCACCAGGGAAGGTCCTACACATCATTTTTTAAACAACTTTATTGACATATAATTCACATCCCATGCAATTCACCTATTTAAAGGGTACTATAGTTTTAGAGTGCTTTAGTCACTTCAACAAGAAACTTCATACCCATTAGAAGTCATTCCCCCTATGTCTCCAACCCTATAGCCCCAGGCACCCACCGATCTGCTTGCTGTCTCCATAGATTTGTCTCTTGGGGATATTCATATAAATGGTATCATATAGTATGTGGTCTTTTGTGATTGATTGGCTTCTTTCACTAAGCATAATATTGCATCATGATTTGTATTTCATTCCTTTTTTTAAATTACCAAACAACATTGCATTACACAGATAGACCACATTTTATTTATTCTTTCATCAGTTGATAGAGCTTTGAGTTTCACTTTGGAGCCATTTGGGGGCCACTTTGGGGCTTCCCTGGTAGCTCAGCTGGTAAAGAATCCACCTGCAATGCAGGAGACCTGCATTTGATCCCTGAGTTGGGAAGATCCCCTGGAGAAGGAAAAGGCTATTGACTCCAATATTCTGGCCTGGAGAATTCCAGGGCCTGTATAGTCCATGGGGTCGCAGAGTCAGACATGACTGAGCAACTTTCACTTTCACTTGGGGCCATTATGAATGGTACTATGAACATTCATGTACAAGTTTTGTGTGGACATATGTTTTCATTTCTCTTGGATCTATCCCTAGGAGTGGAATGTCTGGGTCAATGTACAAGTTTTGTGTGGACATATGTTTTCATTTCTCTTGGATCTATCCCTAGGAGTGGAATGTTTTTGGGTCAATGCTCATTCAACATGGAAACACTACTAAACTGGTTTTTCCAGGAAAAAACAAGGAAATGTCAAAACCTGGTAAATGTCAGAAAGGTTTCCACAGCTTGCAGTTCTCTGTACTCCTGTGGAAGTACCAAGTGGACTGGGTCAGATCAGGAGGCAACATTCAACGTGTAGCGTGAAGCCAATTCCCAAACCTGAACTCTTGCTTCCCACCCACACAGCCTGACTCCGCCCAGCCCTCGGAGCTCTCTTGCGGGGTTGGGCAAACAGGAAAGACAAGACTGAAGTGGCAGCTGAGGTTGGTGACCTCTCCAAGCCAAACGTTCTGTGTTTGGCTTTCCCACGTCTCTGCTGTCTTGCTGCTCACCCAAGCGTCCCAGCTTGCAGCGGACATGGGATTCGGGGTCCAGGGGAGGACTCTCCACCTGCCACAGGTTCTTCCTAAGATGCAGCCACGAATCTGAGCTCTCAGCAGCCCTCTGACGGCTGGGAGTGCTTGAGAAGAGCAAGCGGAGCGTTGCAGCTTATAGAGAACCTTTGAGAACTACAGCTACCGGCAGGGAGAAAGCCATCTGTTACTTTGTTTTTTATTTGCTTTAGAATTTCAAAGAAAGTGAGCAGTTGGGCTGCTCGACTTTATTGTCCATGGTCGGGAGGAGAAGAGTCGGAGTGAGGAGCTCCATTTTCCAAAACTGCAAAGAGCTGTCTCTTCTTGGTGATGCTCACAGGCTCTTGATTCTACCATGAAGTCCTCTGTCCTCCAGGACTAGGGTCTCAGCTGGGAGGTGCTGAGGATCGAGAATCCCCGTTGTTTACACAAGTATCACAAAAGCTTTTCTGAAAAGGCCTTGTTCTCAAATCTCCTTGCCAGCTTGAGGGGGTAGGCAGGGACCTGAGAGCCAGGAGGAGAAATGAAGTCAAGGATAAGCCCCTCCTGCTGCCTCTGGTTTAAAATGGGAGCAAAGATGCACTCACCTGGCAGAGACAATCAGGGCTCGTTCCTGCCTGGCCTGCTGTGACTCACCCCACCCACAGCCTCACCTGGATCACCCCAAGGTGGCTTATGTCTAATGCCAGATGACAACCCATCCCAGTTAGCCCAGAAATTGAGAGGGCTCCAGGCATGTGGGATTTTCAGTTCTCTAATGGAGACGGTTCCAGTTAAACCAGGACTAGTCAGTCACCCTAGGTGTCCCAAGGGTCTAACTCAACCTGGCATATCTGCATTTGAGCTCTCGAAGACAGGGAACCCACCAACTTTTTATCTCTTCCTCTAGCACTTTGCTCCTGCTCATTATTCCAGGATGACTCACCTCCTTAGAACAAGAAGACTATGGGGCCATTCCCACAGGACCTCCCAGTCCTTCACTCCAGTCTCCTGACCTTTGGTGGAGGGTGGTAGTCAGAAGAGGGAATGCTAAGTCTTGCTGCGTCCTCCTAGGCAAGTTACTTCACCTTTCCACACCTCAGTTTCTTCATCTGTCACAGGGATAAGAGAGCCTAGCTCACAAGGTTATTGTGAGGATAATATGGATGAAATGTCAAGTGCATCTGACACGGCAGCACAGGTTCCCAAGACCGTCCTAAGGTTCGGTGAGTCACTAGAACTACTCACAGGCTAAGAAAAGCTGTTTTGCACCTAACTGTGGTTTTTTACGGGCTTCCCTGCTGGCTCAGTGGTAAAGAATCTTCTTGCAATGCAGGAGACCCGGGCTGGGAAGATCCCCTGGAGGAGGGCATGGCAACCCACTCCAGTATTCTTGCCTGGAGAATCCCATGGACAGAGGAGCCTGACAGGCTGCAGTCCATAGTGTCGCAGAGCCGGACACGATTGAAGCGACGCAGCGGCAGCGGCAGCGTGGTTTATTCTGCCTAAAGGCTGCAGATTAAAGACCAGCAAAGGTCAAAGGCGCACAGGGGAGAGTCCAGAAGAGACCAGCTTCCAGTTATCCTCTCCCAGTGGAGTTGTACAGACAATGGTTAACCTCCCCAGCAGTGATGTGTGATGACGGTGTGAAGTGCCGTCAACCAGGGAATCTCACCTGAGTCTCGTGGTCCAGGGTTTTTGTGGGTGTTTATCTCTAGGCATGGAGAACTCCTCCATCACTGACCTTAGTTACTTAGTTTCTAGCCTCTTTAGAGGTCAGACTGATACAGCTTGGCCCAGGGTCCCCAACATAAATCATATTGTTAGCATAAACGATCTGGTGTGACCCAAGGGCCCAGGTAAACAAAGACACTTTTATCACGCAGAGTATTACAAGGGCTTAGAGGTTATCTCCCAGGAGCCAATCAGGGGGCCAGATCTCACTTTGAAACATGCAAGGTTTGAACATCTCATACCTGCTGAGTCAGCTCTTTACTGCATGCACACATAGGAAGCACTCGAGGTTATTATTTTTTTAATATAGTTTATTTACTTTACTGGTCTTCGTTGCAGCACAGGTGATATTCAGTCTTCATTGCAGCATGTGGGATCTAATTCCCTGACCAGGGATCGAACCCAGTCCTGCTGCACCGGGAGGGTAGTCTCAGCCCACGGGACCACCAGGGAAGCCCCCACCCAGTGTTATCCACCTGCTGTCACTAGGGACCTGTATGGCTTCAGGCTAACCCTTTTGCTCTTAGGAGGGGCGCTCGTATTTCCCACCCCTCTTTTGCTACGGAGGGAGCTCCCCGCTAGCAGTGTTCTTGGCGCTCTTCCCTTCAGCCACACCTCTCCCCAGGAATGCAAAGCAACTTTCCCAGTTGGAGGATTTGGGAGAAAGGTCAGCTCCTGCATAGCTCTCCCCTTCCTCTCTTGAGTCATTCATCTGTAGAGAAGCCGCACTGTCCGGTTTACGGAAGTAGGAAGATGTCCACATCTGCGTACACCTGTGCCTGGGGACCGCGTCAGGTTCAGGGCTAAGGTCTCCGCCAGCTCCCCTGGCTCACAGGATCTAAACCGCCTTCGTTTTTATTGATTTATTTATTTTAATTGGAGGCTAATTGCTTTACAGTATTGTAGTGGTTTTTGCCACACATTGACATGAATCAGCCATGGGTGTACATGTGTCCCCCATCCTGAGCCCCTCTCCCACCCATCCCTCAGGGTCGTCCCAGTGCTCCAGCCCTGAGTGCCCTGTCTCATGCATCGAAGCTGGACTGGCAATCTATTTCACATATGTAAACCGCCTTCTTGAACAGCTTTATCAGCAATAAAGGCGATCTCCATTTGCCTGGCTCCTGGGTCTACCCGTCAACTGGTTCCTAATGGAGGCAGAGACAGAGAGCTGACATTTCACAGCCCCTCAAGCCCCGGATATGGTCAGGCCTTCCTGTGTTTGGAAGGGCTTGATCAGGTGTCCCCTCGAACCTCATCAGCCAAGGTCCCCAGGTCATTCAATCATGCCCACTCCTCAGGATCTCCTGAGGGGGCTCTCCAGGCTGTCTAGGATCCTCTGGAACACTGAGCCAGAACTAAGCACAGACCCTCCCAGGTGTGGTCAGGTGGGCACCAGTCATGGGCAGCCCCTCGCCACGTCTTAGGATTCCCGTGATCACTGTCATTTCTGAGCAGGCCGATTACAAGCTGAACGTGCAGGAGCCTCAGCCCCTTTTCCACAGGAGTTATATTAGATCCACTTTCCTCTGCACAGGGCAGTTGATTATTTAAATCTCTTAAGGTTGTCCAGTCAAGTTCTCCTTCTCAAACACATTTGTAAACACACACGCTCACACACGCACATCCCCTACAAGGCCGAAGGGCACAGGATCCCCCCACACCCCACTGCCAAAACCTTTTAATCTTTCCTCTCCTCACCAATTTCAGTACACTCATATTTTATCTATTCAAGAAGCATGTAGCCTCCAAAAATAATACATAGTGGTGAAAAGCACAGCCTCTGGCATTAGACATTCCTAGGTTCAAATTTTAACTCTATCAATTATCAGCTGTGTGGCCTTGGGCAAGTTACTGAGCCTCTCTGAGCTTTGGTTTTCTCAAAATCCTAAGGTGAAGGTTATACTAGTACCCGCCTTCAAAGGGCCAAGCCTGGTGCCCTGATTATATCATATTCTTGGTAACTATAAATTAGCAGCACAGGCAGTAATCTTACTGGTTTTAACATTATTGTTACTACTACAGGGACACCTTCCAAAGTGGAAACGAAAGTTAGTACAGGGTTGCAGCCCTGCAGGGTACATGGTTGATAGATGATGTCACCATGAAGAATGGATCGGGCACGGGGTCCTTTTCTGAAGTTCAGCCTGGGTCTTGCAAATCTTCAAACCTTGTTTGCAGAGATTCTATGGAAGAAAGGAGGGAGGCCGGAGCTGAGCTGGACGGTCAGTGGACACGGCCCGGGCTGCAGGTTTTGAGCTGGAAGGACAGGCCCACTCTGTTCAAGGGCTGACCTGGCCGTCAGGCACTCCCTTCTGCTCTTTAGGGGAGAGTCCCTCCACATGGCCGAGTTTTGGGGGACCAGAGAGAAAATATGACTGGATGAAACAGAAAGCCTTATTGAAAAAAAAAGTCACAGTGACAGCAAAGGAGCACCCAAAGGGCCGACGTGACAATCTCAACCCTCCAGAAGAACAGGTCCATGACAGCCTGATACGATTCCCAGGGGTTGGGGGTGCAGGGGGCAGCAGGACAGCAGATGAGCTCAAGTGACCTTGAACTTTCAAGGCTGGAGCCCTCAGGAGAAGGACTTACCCTCCTGGGGTCAGCTTCCCACCCTGCACAATTAGGGCAATACCACTTGCTTCTAATGGGGCCTACAGGAGTATGTACTTCCCTGTATCTCAGATGGTAAAGAATCTGCCTACAAAGCAAGAGACCCAGATTCAGTCCCTGGGTCAAGAAGACCCTCTGGAGAAGGGAATAGCAACCCACTCCAGTATTCTTGCCTGGAGAATCCCAGAGTCAGAGGAGTTCGGTGGGCTACAGTTTACAGGGTCGCAAAGAGTCAGACACGACTGATCGACTAACACTACTACTCTGTCAGAGTAAGTGGGCTGTTGTGTATCAGGGTTTATCTCCTGATGAACAGGGGGCTTCATAGCAATTCCAGCTCCACGGGTCAGATGTGAAAATCAGCTTCACGGCTTTATAGCCCCACCTTCCAGGTGTTGCCTCATCCACGTGTTAAGCTCATCTGACTTCAGCTTAAGTGAAGTGAAAGTGAAGTCGCTCAGTTGTGTCCGACTCTTTTTGACCCCATGGACTGGAGCCTACCAGGCTCCTCCGTCCATGAGATTCTCCAGGCGGGAATACTGGAGTGGGCCGCCGTTTCCTTCGGAGCCTAACTCCCTTTGTGGATCCCGCAGGCCCAGCTGCAGACCAAACCGAGAGGAAGCAGAGGTGGGCAAGGCTGCAAAGGGATACAGGATGGCCTGACTGTGAAAGCAGGCGGGAAAGCCAGCTAGGTGAGGATAAGAACCACAGAAGTAACCTGAGGCCACTTCGTGCTCAGCGGACAATCTAGCACTCTCAGCAGACAGTGGGTGAAGTAACAAGCCACGGAGCCTGCAGTCATTAAAAGAAGTTACATCTATTCCACAGAGTCAGTTTAAGAAGGTTAAAAAGAAAACATGTTATACATTTGAGCAATAGTACCATTACAAAGAGGAAAACCGTTAAAGGGGAGAAGTTACAGGTGTCTTCCAACGACTTAGGATTGGGGCACCTCTTTCTTGGGTGCTGCTGGATAGACAGAGCTTCACTGAAAGAACATAACGGGTCTTTTCGCCTCTCAGCAAGGTGTTATTTAGGCAGAAGGAAAGCCGCAGAGAGGGGGTGAGGGAGGGGAGCAAACGGACCAGGACTCTCGGGATGTGTCCTTCTAGCTAAAAGCATCTGCCACTGGGCTGCTCGGCGGCTCGTCGCGGAAAGGGCCTCAGTTGGCCTGGATCTTCCCGGGGATGCTCTGCGGGTCGCGGCCCCGGCCCAGCAGCAGGAACTCTAGCCGCTTGCAGTGCTCCCGGAGCTGCTTCTCCCGGGGCAGCAGGAAGGTGAGGACCTTGTTCCGCACGACGCCCCGGTCCTCCTCCTCCCGCAGCCGCTGCTTCACGCGGGCCGCCTGCTCCCCCTGCTGCACCAGGGCCCCGTTCATCTCGCAGAAGGCGTCTTCCAGGTAGCGGATGGCCCTGAGCGCCTCCTTCTTGAAGTCCTCCAGCTCGCGCTGCATCCCGGCCACCTTCTGCTGCAGGAGCTCGAGATCGGCCGGCGGCAGGAGGCCGGAGGACCAAGACTGGGGCAGAGAGAAATCCCCAGACTGGAGGCCGCTCTCCACCATCTTCTTCCCGTGTAAGGTGTTCACCTTCATCAGAATGGACCGGGACTGATAGAGGGGCTCCATGATGCCGCCTCCGTCTGGACAAAGAGAGGGAGCTAGGGTCTAGCCAGGTCAGTGATTTTTTTTTTTTTTTTCTTTTTTTCTTTTGGCCGGAGACACAATCTTTTGGAATGGAGAAACCCCACCTATTGTGACATAAGGGCCCCTCCAGCCAATCAGGAGGAACGCCGCAATCCACTCATTTGCATATTGTAGCCTCCTGGCTTGGTTATCCTGGGCTTTGCTCATCTACCCAAAAAGTATTTAGTTGTGCCCCCGGAGATACGGATCTTCATCAACTCATTGCCCTTCCGGAACCGGAGCTCCGTCTGTTCTTGTCTTGTCCTGGGACACACAGAGGCCCGGGGCAGTAAAGTAAGCTGATTGGAGGAAGGCCAGGCGGGTACTCTCCTACACAGCAAGGGACCTGGGTGGTCTCATAAGGGTCTCTGTGCTTCACTAGTGAAGCAAGGACTTTGTAAGAGATGAGATTTAATCTCACTTCTAGCCCTAAAATGCTAAAAAAAAAAAAAAAAAGAAGAAAGAAAGTTTTTTAATGGAAGTATGATTATTTTATATTATGTTAGTTTCAGGTGTGCAGCAAAGTGACTCAGCTACACATTTTTTTCAGATTCTTTTCCATTATAATAGATTATTATGAGATCTTGAACGTGGTTCCTTGTGCTGTTCAGTAGGTCCTTACTGTTTTCCTATTTTATACATTATAGTATATATGTGTTAATCCCAAGCTCTTAATTTATCTCCTCCTTCCCCACCATCGCCTGTGCTAACCGTGTTTGTTTTCTATGTCTGTGACTCTATTACCATTCTGTAAATAAGGTCATTTGTGTCCTTTTTTAGATTCCACATATGTGTGTGTATGTTAGTCAGTCAATTGTGCCCTACTCTTTGTGACTCGATGGGTTGTAGCCCACCGGGCTCCTCTGTCCCTAGAATTCTCTAGGCAAGAATACTGGGATGGGTTGCCATTCCCTTCTCCAGGGGATCTTCCCAGCCTAGGGATCGAATCTGAGTCTCTTGCATTTCAGGTAGATTCTTTACTGTCTGAGGGAAGTCCTTAAATTCCACATAGAAGTGATATCATGTGATACCTGTCCTCTGATTTACTTCACTTAATATAATCTCTAGAAAAATAATTTCTGATTCCAAGTCCATACTCCTATAGTGATGGCAGAATTCTCAATAATCTTCGAGGTATACTCAGGTTTTGATGGGTGGTCCTCAGCAGAGCTGATTCAGGATAAAACTGGTCACTCATTCATTCACTCAGCAAGGCCCTTTTGTGCCCCCACTGTGTATCTGGACCAGGGAATGTGTGGGAGCCAGGGCGCATGGGCCCCCGTCCCTGCCCTGCCAGATCCTGCCTGAATGCAGACAAAGATGAGGAAAAACATATAGACGGGTGAACCTCCCACTTCTGACCCGTCGATTGTAAGAAAGGACACTGGTTTGGTCAAGAAGAACCCTCCGTCTTGCAGACCTCAGTCTCTTGCCCAGACTTCTCACCTGGCCTCTCCTTCTTTCCAACAGCCTGCGTCAAATTCAGCCCACCCAAAGCTGGACTAAGATCGTTTCACCCAAAATGGTTCCTGTTCCAGTGTTGCCGTCAGGCTGATGAGACTAGCCCAGGGCAGCCCCCTCATCAGGGCCCACTTGAGAAACCCGCACCCCTCCACGTCCAAGTGACTCTGAGCTCTATTGGCACTGCCATCTCTACATGCTCCAGCATCACATCCCCTGGGTTGGCAGTCTCAACTCTGCCACCTACAGTAAGCTGCATATCTTTGTGTGCTGCCTCATCTCCCTAGGCCTCAGTTTCCTCACCTATAAAGTGGGGATACTAATTCAGTGGTGTGCAGGTTAGTGGGGGTGAGGGGGTGCTCTCTGCGAGGAAAAAAACAAAACAAAAAACTTTAATTTATAGTTGTTGCTGATTTCTGATTTATAGCTGTTGCTGACGAGACTGGTTCCGAGTTACCTGCATGATGTCTTTTGAAAGAGATGCATACAGGGATCCTTCATGAGTGTGTGCGAGTGAGACAACTCCTGTACCACAGGACCTGTGAGGAGGGCATGGGCCTTCTCCAGGAGGAAGATGGATCCATCGAGAGAGTCTGGCAGTAGGTATCAGAGGCGGCACTGTGTAGGGAGGTTCATGGCTAAACTAAGGTGGAATTTTGAGTCTCAAGATCGGGCAGCACCAGTTATTGATACACAATGTATAGAAGAAAGGGCCCTGCTCTAGGAGCCAGGCGACCTGGAGTCTGGACTTGCGGTGTGAGCATAGGTCAGGCAGCCCTCCTCTCTGAACCTGTTCCCTCTGATGTAATGTGAAGTCTCTGATGCGCTAAGACCCACACGGTCCTTCCCTTAAACTTTTCCAGCCTGTTGCAGACCCCCGCTCATTCTGTGAGCTTGTCCCTCCAGGCCCCTGACGGTGCAGTAAATCACAGGAGGACAGAGGCCGCACATCTATCACTGTGTGCCCCGCCTGCTGCAGCTGCACGTAATGGCTCTCAGAAACGAGATGAAACAGAATTTCTGCTCCGAGATGTCCGTCAAACCCTGCAGCGCCCCTGGTTTTAGCTCTGACATGATGACACCTACTGGCCTGAGCAGAAACAGCACCTCTCTTATTTGCTATCTGAGACCCAGAGACATCACTGAAAAGCAGAGACACTACTTTGTCTACAAAGGTCTGTATAGTCAGAGCTGTTTTTCCAGTAGTCATGTATGGATGTGAGAGCTGGACAATAAAAAAGGCTGAGCGCCGAAGAACTGATGCCTTCAAACTGCAGTGCTGGTGGTTGTTGCTCAGTCGTGTCCGACTCTGCGACCCCATGGACTGCAGCACGCCAGGCCTCCCTGTCCATCACCAACTCCCGGAGATTACACAGACTCATGTCCATAGAGTTGGTGATGCCATCCAACCATCTCACCCTCTGTCACCCTCTTCTCCCACCTTCGGTCTTTTCCCAGCATAAGGGTGTTTTCTAATGAGTCGGCTCTTTGCATCAGGTGGTCAAAGTACTGGAGCTTCAGCTTCAGCATCAGTTTTTCCAATGAATATTCAGAGTTGATTTCCTTTAGGATGGACTGATTTGAGCTCCAGCTGGAGAAGACTCTTGAGAGTCCCTTGGACTTCAAGGAAATCAAACCAGCCCATCCTAGAGGGAATCAACCCTGAATATTCATTGGAAGGACTGATGCTGAAGCAGAAGTACTTTGGCCACCTGATGCGAGGAGTTGACTTGTTGGAAAAGATCCTGATGCTGGGAAAGATTGAAGGCGGGAGGAGAAGGGGACGACAGAGGATGTGATAGTTGGATGGCATCACCGACTCAATGGACATGAGTTTGAGCAAGCTCCAGGAGATGGTGAAGGACAGGGAGACCTGGTGAGCTGCAGTCAATGGGGTCCCAAAAAGTCGAATGACTGAACAATAACAGCAACAAGACCCATATGGGGGCCTGGGGAGATGATGTAACAGGCTGTGGTCTCCTGGTGCATTAATTAGGGGGCGTGTGTGCAGGTCAGGCACATAGCAGGTTCTCAATACATATTTCTTGACTCAGTGACAGGAAGTATGTGTCTGTCTTCTGGCCTGAGTGTTTTTCTGTTTGTCTGTCTTTCTCTCTGACTCGGATGCTCTGCTTCTTTGTCTCCCACAGGGAATGGTTAGAAGTCATAACGAGTGCTGTGAAAGAAAAGTAGTAAGGGTTAAGGAAGGACAGCATTCGTTCAACTTCCCTGGTGCTTTTTCATGAGGTCTCAGTTCATCTCTCTGCACGCAGAGCTGGCGGGGAGGACCGTGTTTCCATGCGAGCCTCGGCGGAGGTCGGGAGCAAACGCTTGCTCTGTCAGCAGAAGACCCCAGGCCCGGGAGCCCCTGAACCCTCGGGGCGCCCTCAGCAGGGCCGACTCAATGTGACATGCTCTGGGTGCTATCCTCCTAGAAGCTTTACAATACAGACCTGGGCTTGCCTCAGAACTTTCTTCCGCAAACCCTCAGAAAGTGGGCAAATCTATTGGTCCCCTTCGCAGCGTCAAGAGGAAGGGACTCTGACATCTCCTGGCCAGACCTCCCAGGGCCAGCGTCGGTAGGGTTTCCCTGCCCCTGGTCTATTTCGGCAGCATCTCAGAAAAACGGGAGGACAAAGCGGGGTATCAAACCCGCCAGATGCAGGCTCCAGCCCTGAGGATCAGATGTGACCGGTGTGGCGGGGGGCTCCGGAGCAGCATGTGTGAGGGTTTCCAGGGGTGGGCGCCGCTGGACCCAGGCACAGTCCTGCTGGGAAGTACAGGGCCCCAGCCAGGTGCAGACACGGGAAGGTGTCCCCAGGGCCCTGGGAGGCTGTCAGGGGCTCCTCTGGCCGTGCATGACTGCTACCTTGCGGCTGGTATTCCAGTCTGGGCAATGGGGACAAGGCTGGGACGAGGGTGGGACCAAGATCAGGAACCAGATTCAGTGCTGTTCACCATGATTAATTAACCCAGAGCCAGAGCCCCAAGGCGCAGCGCTAAAAATACGTGCTCCTCTCGGAGAGGCGGCAGCTGCCACCCAGCAACTTTTACCCGTCGCCATTTGTCATAATTTGACACTGATAAGGAGTGGGTCCACGGAGCCGTGTGCAAGAATCGCCCGCCACAGCCCACCAGCCAGCTGGGCCGCGATAACTGTCCGCGGCGCTTTCCTCCCCAGACTCTCCCCCCATCCCCGAGCCTTGCCCTGGCCACCCCTGGGTACGCCGGCCACCTGCCCACTGCCCGCCTCCCCTCTTGGAGCCCCAGGGGCGCCGCCCCCAGGGGCGGGAGCCAAACCCAGAGCACGCGCCGGACTCCGTGTCTCAGGCCACTGCCGCCCTGCTGCTCGGACTAGAGCCAGCCCGGCGGCACTTTAATTAAAATATGTAAAACATCCTGGTGGGCGTGGACCTGAAGATGCAGCAGCGCCGGGTCCAGCGGGTGGGGCTGGCCCCTCTCCAGCCCTGGAGGCTAGGACCGCGCCAGGCGGGCCCTGCAAAGCACCATCCACCCCTCCGCTGTGCTCAGAATTTAGCTGGGGCGGAACCTGAAAGAGAACCTTACAGAGTCCCCGGGGCCCAGACGGTAACCCCAGTTGGAATAGTCTATCCCGGTTCTCCTCACTCATTTTCTTAAAGGACTCACTTGAAGCTGGGAGCCGGACATTTAGATAAACTCTTTAGCAAAGCCCGTTTCCATTCCTCAGACTAATGAGCTCCTCGGGTCTGTTCACACTGCCTTCTGTGTTGACAGGAAGCATGGTGTGTGCTATTTAGGGCAGGGATGAGTGAAACATTTTTCCCCCCTGCACAAAGGTCAAATCAGAAAATATTAGAGGCCCCAAATTTTGAATCCCAACTTGTTTTTAAAGTCGGAAAATGCTATTATTTTAAGCATGCCCTTCTCTCCTCCCCCTACCCTCATCGCTGAAGAAATTTGAGATATTTACCAAAATGTCAATCTGCACAAATATGGTGGCTGCAGCCTGACTCCGGGGTTCAGGCCTGAGACATGTTTTCTGTACAGTGACATAGACTGCGGGGAGAGTGGGCGGGTTTGGAGAGGCAAGTGGGACCCTGAGTCCAACCAGAGACCGGGACCCCCAAGAGCCCCCGGTTGGGAGCTCCTTTCTCAGGGACAGGGCCAGGGATGCCATCCGGAGGCGAGTCTCAGGTGAGCAGACCCGGCTGCAGGAGGGGCGGCAGCTCCTCCTCCGCCCGCACTCAGCCCTCCCCAGGGGAGCAGGGCGGGGAGGGAGCCCACAGCTTCCAATCAACCCCGACTTGAGACGGCCGCCCTCCCCCCACCGCACCCTCCAACCAGGGACGCTCCCGCAGTGCACAGAACGGCTGCCTCCGTGTCAGGGTGTCAGGCTGAATTATGTGAGCTTAAAAAACCAAATCCGCTCCTTCCTGGGTTACTTAACCATCTGCCTGGGGAGGCCAGGGGATTACTGGTGACAGACTCCAGGGCCTGCCCGCCTGCTCCAGACAGAGAAGCTTTGATCACCTGGAAAACTCCAGACACCAGGGCTCCTAATGATGAGTAATGAGCTCAAACCACCGGAAAGGTACCAGCGCCCTGCGCGGTGGGGACACACACCGCTTCCCCTGGCAGCCGGGGCCAGCGAGGTGCGGTGCCGTCACCCAGAAGAGTTTGGCCCCGCCCTCACCCCCACCCGGGGTCCTGACCACTCAGTGTTGCGGTGAGGAGGTCTCTAGGCTCCAGGCACTGGGCTGTCTGAAGGGCTGTCTTTTCTGATATAGGGGCCAGAGTTTATTATTGAAGAGTGCAGTCTCCCCATTCATTCATTCATTCATTCGCTCATCCACGTATTCAGTGCACATTTATCAGGCAATGTAAAATGAGCCCTTATGGTGCCAGCTGCTCAGGACAGAAGGCTAAGATGCGGTCTGTGTCCTAAGAACTTGGGACTCACCGTGGAGGCCGCCTTGCCAGTCCAGCCCAAAAGAGGTGGCAGGGTTCAAGTCCACACAGAGCCGGGGCCTCTAAGTGAGACAGTCCCTTCTTGTGGTGGGAACAGGAGCGGGCTGGGGGTGGAATGTGAAGATCCCAGTCCCCTGGCTTGAGGTTCAGTCTGCTCCTGTAAAAGTTCCCAGTCTCAAGTCACACCCACATCCCTTCATCCAGGATCTACTCCTGCTCGGAGATTACCTGAGAATTATGTCAGCCTTGAGTTCCCTTTTTGGGTTTCATGGAAATCAGTGACTCTCAAGCTTTGGCAAATATAATTATCCTTGGAGAGTGCTAAAAATCATTTTTGAAGTCTGAATTTCACCCTCAAGAGATTCTAATTCAGAAGTTCTTGGAAACTGGAACTTTCAAGAAGGGTGACCAATCCTCTTGATTTGCTCTGAAATGTGAGACTTTGGTTTTAAAACAGGATGATCCCAGGAAATCTGTGACAACTCACCCTAGCTGGGGCAGGTACTGTTAGTCTCTGCCCAATAACATTCCTTTCTTCCTTTTGATCAGGCAGTAACATGCTCAAGGAAGGTAAGCCACCACCAGCTACCAGCCCTAGGTAAGGTAATTCCATTTCCTGTTAGAAATGCTTTATTTCAGGTGGACCTGTGACCCACTGCACACCAGTGAGTTGTAAAAGAAAGAGTTATGGAAAGACACATCTAAAAGAAACCAACAGGGATTGGGGGGAAACAGTTGCCCCTTCTGCCTTTGTCAAAGCTGTATGAGGACATGATGTCTGGAACTGTGGCAGCCATTTAACAGTCATGAGGCTGCAAACCTCGGGTGAAAATTCAGCTAAGGGAGAGCAGTTACATAAGAGGAACTTCCATTTCTTGTAACATCACCGAATCACATCGCCAAACTCAAATTTGAGATTTGTATCTGACTCCAAAGTCAGTACCTGACTTTGAGTACCTGACTCCAGTCTAATTGGTGTTATTAAATGTTTTTCTTGCTCAAACAACTGTTGTTTGGTATTCTATGAACTGCAGCCAAACATATTATGACTATTACAAAGGGCCTAGAAATTGGTGTTTTTAACGAGAACCCCCAAATCATTCTGACGCTTTCCACCAAGCTAGCTCATCCGTGGTTCTCAAAGTGTGGTCTTCAGATGGGCAGAAATGAGCATCCTTGGGCACTGGTTAGAAATGTGGATTCTCAGGCCACACCCAGACCTTCTGACTCAGACTCCCTGGGAGGTGGGGCCCAGCAGTCTGTGTTTTAACAAGCCCTCCAGAAGAGGCTTGATGGCTGTTGAAGTTTAAGAGCTAACCTGAGACTCCCTGACACCAGACTCTTTGAAATTTCTGGATAAGAATTTGAAACTTTACCCGTATCACTGCTGCTTCCTGTTATTGCTTGAAAAATAAAACAGTCTTCTCCCCTTCTGTGATTTTTCTCCTTTCCCTCTTGTCTTGCTTTAGTGGAATGCTTTGGTCAGATTTACTGGCCTATGTTTAATCAAACAGCCAAGTGGTGATGGAGGAGGGAGGGAGTCCTTGGTGGTCAGGACTAGCCCGGGCAGGAGTCAGCTTGGTGGGCTGGGCAGTCAAGGGAGAGCGAATGTCAACATTGCTGACCCTGTAACTCCGGGTCAGCATTTGTACCCTCCATGAACGTGCACACGTCAGATATCACATTGCATGGTGGCTGGCCCAGGAGGAGAGAAAGGGGGAGGTCCAGGCACCCCCATCTCCTCCTCCTTCCCCAGGGAAGCTCTGCTTCCACTGGCCTTTTATACTCCAGGTATCTCCCTACTTTTGACATCATGAATTACTCAAACCCCCCCTGAGAGTCCAACAGGCAAAAACTGAACTCTAGTCTTCATGGCATGTGGGCAATCCTTTCTCAGCTAAAAAAGAAATTATAAAATTTCTAATTACACTTTCTCCTAAGAGTGCTTTTTTTCCCCTGGATTCTTCTTTGCAGCAGAACACACTGTCAAGTGATTATCCAGGAAACAGCACATGATTAATAATAATTGACAAATAAAATAGTGATTCCCACCATTAATGTAGTTCTTCCTCGTGACAGGCCCAGGGGCCCTGCATATACACTATCTTTCAGGCTGAATAGCCACAACCCAGGGGTGCCAACCGAGGCTCACCTTTGAATTGGTTGAATTAGGTGGAGAAATCCCATAGCAGAAGCTTCCTTCTGTCCATCTCCCACTCACATTTGTCAAAGTGCAAATGCCATACAGTATTCAAACAGAGGCATCACTTCCACAGTGTGGCCTATATTAGTCTGGCTGATGCTGACTGACTGGCTGGCCTCCCACCAACCCGACCCTCCCCGGGATGGCTGAGAACGCCGTTCATCAGCCGAGGTTCTGAAAGCTGAGTCCAGCACACGGAAGGCCTCCAGGGCCTTTGGAGCATGTTGTCAGAGGGTGAAAGCTGTGCTGAGGTCCTGCCTTCCTGTCTCCAGGCACGGGCCCCAGTGTGTCTGGCTCCCGATCCCAGTGGTCTCAGGGGGTTCCTCCCTCCAAACAATCCCTGTTTTCAGCGAGGGCTGCCTCCCAGGAAGAGCCAGCTTTTATCGGTTTTCAGGTCCCACTCGCACCTCCGGGCAGACACACGCCATCGGGTGAGAGGTCACTGACCCGACACTCCCTCAACTGACCTCCCTCAACAGTCTCTTGGCTGTTTGGTCATTAGTACCACCGAGGCCTAGGCACCAAATGGTCTCACTTGGTAGGACCAGGACGTGGGGTTGCTGCTAAGGCCTCGGTAGCCGGGGTAGCAGTGAAGGCAAAAGAGGCCGACAGGCAGAAGGAACCATTCCAGGCTCTCCTATGGCCATGCTGTCAAGGGGAGGAGACCCGGAAACTGAGCCTGGAGGGCTAAGCACAGAAGACCCCACCACCTGCCACGGTCAGGCCATCAGAGCCAAGTGGGTCGTCTCCTCCCAGGCCCTGAGGGCCAGGGGGGCGCCCTCCCACGGCACCCCTGTCCTTCGGGCTTCTGTCGTGGGGCATCTCAGCTGCTCCCTGCCGGTTAGAGAACACTGGACTTTCTCACTGTCAGCCCGCAGCTCTAAGCCACTCTGTGCCCATCACGGGCATACAAGGTGGAGTAGAAAGCCTCCCCTACTCCCAGGAAGGCTCCCAGGTCCTGCTTCAAAACCTCTTGGGATGTCCCTGGTGGTCCAGTGGCTAAGACTCTGAGCTCCCAATGCAAGGGTCCGGGGTTCAATCCCTG